GTAATATAACTTAGAATAATATATATAGTAGAATAATAAACCACAGTGTATAGCATACAGCATAATGTACAATATACAGTATGTTCGTGTAGATTATCACTGTACATTATAGTATAGCATAATGTATCTTAAAGGGGTCCTATTACATTATAGTATAGCATAATGTATCTTAAAGGGGTCCTATTATGCTTTTTTTCTTTTTTAATTTTAGCCAGTGTGTAGTGTGTATGTTTGGGCATAAAAAAGATCTAGAAAGTTACAAATCTCAAAGTCCACTCCGAAGGGAGATATTTCGTTTTTAAAAAAATCCCTTTTCAAGAACTACATCGAACGGCTCGTTTGGACTACAGCGTTTGTTTTCCAGGCTTTGTGATATCACAAAGCGGCCCATTAGAATTTCATTAAAAATAATTCCCGCCTACAGAAATTCGAATGGTTGGGGGGTGTGAAGGGGCGAGGTTGTGGTTAGAAACACATAATGTAAATTATGTGAAAAATAATGCGTTTTTCGAACCACCAAGCATGAGAGCATGTTCTAGTACACCCCCAAAACAAAATCAAGACTTTGTAAAAGAACATAATAGGACCCCTTTAAAGGGATAGTTCACCCAAAAAAATTTAAACTCTGTTATCATTTTCTCATCCTCATGTCTTTCCAAACCTATATGAGTTTCTTTCTTCAGAAGATATTTTGAAGAATGTGGGAAACTAAACAGTTGATAGTAGCCATTGACTTCCATAGTATGAGAAAAAAAATTGCTATGGAAGTCAGAGGCTACTGTCAACTGTTTACTGTTAACAACATGAGTAAAGGATGATAGCATTTTTATTTTTGGGTGAGCTACAGTATCTCTTTATCATAGCATTGTATAAAGTATAGTATATTTTAGCATAGTATCACATAGAATAATATGGAATAATAGTAAACAATAGTGTATTTTATTAGTATGTTAGTAAAGCTTAGTGTTGTATAGAAATTACAGTATATAGTACAGTAACAATTTTTCCTAATTTCTCCATTGTTTGATTTCACATTGTGCAACTGCAGAGCTCTCTTAAATCTCCTTGGAAGAATGATAATAGAATTTGGTCAAATAGTTGTGTGTTAAAATGCAGAAAACCTGATAGAGGGATAGCGCCTCCAGAATCTCATAACTAACTCTAGCAGATTAATGGATCCTCTCATCAGCCACGTCTCCGGCATCAGATTATCCCCTCAACAGCGTCAAGAGTGCTTTAACTGCCAAAGTACGCATGTGGATCTTATCTGCGATTCTGTAGAATCACAGTGAGGGAATTGTTTACAACAGAGAGCTTGTGTGCAAACACAATAACGTTTTTCTGCATGTGATTCCAGGTCATGTAAATTTCTCTCCCGGTATGAATATGTATGGAGCCCAGGCTCTGATTAGGGAGCCCTGAGATCTCATGTAACATTTATCGAGCGCAGGAAGGACAAATACAGCATGTTCCTCATGAAATATGTACGTGATATCTCAATATGCATATGTCTGCGTGGACGTGCGTCTGTGTGCATATCTTATTGAGTCATGCCACTTTAAAGTCCCTAGACACTGGCCAATATGGTGACTGTTTGCTGTTCCCCACGTAGATTTGAGCCATAGCTGTGGGTTATCATACGGATACTTATAAACACAGCAGGTCGAGTCAGCATGCATTAGTATCATATCTCTTGAGGAAACCTCTAGTGCTCATGATTATGAGATTATTATAATGTCCTAATTTTCATACAGATATCAAATGTGCACTCCATTACAAACTACTAAATTTATTTGCTATCATTCGTACTTCTTCAAACAAGATGGGGATTGTGTCTTCAAGCCGCTTTTTCACTGTCAGTAACATCTGAGGTTAATGTCCAAATTTGCACCCATAGTAGCAGACTAGCAGTCGTAATTAAGAATTTAGTTTGTTTTGCATTTTCACCCATAAATACATGTGATGTTTCTTTTTGCGTCTCCAGTACAGGAGTTCAACAGGAGCTGTCCATTTATTAATCATGGTGGGATGAATGAATAATAAACAAATATTGTACTCGTATAGGACAAATGACCGTAAAGTATTATGGGTTGCCTGAGCCTACAGTGTTAAACAATGTACATATTATTTATTATGTTTTTTTTTTCTGAAATACATGACTTTCAATCAGTCCTACAGTTTAGTCACAGAATTTGAGATATTTCAGTGCTTAATTCAAATCTGAAAGTCTCGCATCGCATTTTTTTGATAAGCAGTATAAGCCAATTTATGTTGACTGTTGACATGAGGGCTGTGGCATCAAATTTTTTGATACAATGGACCCCCAAACAGGATGATGGGACCTCCTTCCTAAATTTATTATTTAAAGGGATAGTTCACCCAAAAATGAAAATTCTGTCATTAATTACTCACCCTTGTGTCGTTCCAAATGCGTAAGACCTTCGTTCATCTTCAGAACACAAATTAAGATATTTTTGATGAAATCTGAGAGCTCTCTGACCCTCCCATAGACAGCAAGGATCCTAACATGATCAAGGAACAGAAACGTAGCAAGGACATTTTTTAAATAATCTATGTGACATCAGTGGTTCAAACGTAATTTTACGAAGCTACAAGAATGCTTTTTGTGTGCAAAGAAAACAAAAATAACGACTTTATTCAACAATTCGTCTCCTTCGTGTCACTCTATAGCTCCATTTTGGAGAGTATCACATACGTAAACAACATATGCTGTTCTGTGTCAGCAGCACCATATGCGGATACATTGTTTAAGTTGTTTACGCTTTGATCTGAAAAAAATACCTTGCATACGTTGTTTATGTATGTGATACTCTCCAAAATGGCCCTATAGGGTGGCGCGGAGGAGACGAATAGTTGATGATCATGTTGGCTGGAATATCCACCTTGATCGTGTTAACAATATATTAATTTGTGTTCCGAAGATGAACAAAGGTCTTACAGGTTTGGAATGACATGAGGGTGAGTAATTAATGATAGAATTGTCATTTTTGGGTGAACTATCCCTTTGAATTAAATACAATTATTTATTAAAAATGAATTAAATAAATTAATAATTAGTTAAACAAAATTACAATAATAAGAATTAATTTAAAATTATTTAAATTAAAATATTATTAATAGTATTAGTGTTAAAAAAATAAAGTATTAAATACATATATTAAATGAAATAAATATTTAATTAAAATTACCCAATATTAAGAGTACTGTAAAATGTATAAAACTGGAGAAAACTAAAGCAGTCATTAGAATAAAATAATTCTAATTCAATATCATGACTTGACCAAATTTAATATAAATGTATTACTTACTTACTTACATTTTCTCATTAGTTTTCCACAGGCCTGGCAATTGATATAATCAATACAAATCTCCCTCGCACACAACCTGAGATAGATTAAGAAACATTCTTACTCACAAACTTGCACTTATTGCCTTTAAACCTATTAAAACATAATTGTGCATACACATTTGCTTGCTAGAAAGCTATCAAAACCTAATTTTTTTCTTAATCTTTCTGATTGTCACTTCAAAGTTTCTGAACAATGTGCATGCATATTAGTTGTGCAAATACACAATGCAATGTTTTATCAACAGTGACACTCTGGTGACTGCTTGTACCTCAACCCTTTGAATAATTCAGCCGCAATATGTTTTCTCAAGGAGAAACTGAATTTCTTGCTGGAAGGTTTCCCTTTTTTCCTGTTTCATTTTCCAAATAGGCTTTGTGCTTTCGTGTTCATTGATAAATGGGGTATCTTCAGTCTGTGTACCCTTTGCATTAACACAGAAATTGTGGCCTAAAGTTTGCCCTGTATTGTCCCACAGGTTGCTTTTGAAGGTTACTGCAAAGTTTTAGTTCAAAGATACAGTAAAGTTAAAACCTCACACAAACCACAGCAATTCTACTTGCAATTTACTGTTTAATTGCAATTTCAGCCTTGGCTGACCGGCTGTGGCCCTACATATGGATTTGAGGCTGCGGAGCTGAAGTCTATCATCAGTTAGCCACACTGTCCGCTCCGTGCTGTGTGTGTGTGTGTGTGTGGAGGTAGAGGAGTGTTCTCAGATACTGGATAATACGCTCTTCTGCTGCCTGAAAGCACTGCTGCTTTTAGGCTCAAAATTAGAGTGCTCAACTGCCAAACATGCATCCGTGGTCTCAAACCACCACAGAAACAGACTGGTTACATTTATACGGTCTCAAGAGTCTCTCGGTTCTGGCCAACAAAACACTGGATGCCACAAAGGGGAGTGAAACTCATTTGAAACATCTTATTTTGTGTGTAGATGTGCCTCACTCTGTTCCTTCAGGAGCCCTAAGGGAAACGGTAGTTTGAACACTCTGAACGTATTCTCTTTGAATGAGAAACCTCTTTAGATTCACAGAATTTGGCTCTGGCCACGAATTTTGAATTCCCATGGACAGTGGTAATTATGTTAAGTGGTATTTGTATCAGCGCTCTCTTTTTCTCTGCCTCTTACCGTCTCTCTTTCCGATGTGTGCACTTTTGCTGTGGAAGGGGTGTTCTGCAGGTGTTTTGGGGAGCTTGCAGAATGAGTCAGAGGTTTATTAAACAGCAGCCAAAACCAGAGGAGAGAGGATGAGATGAGATGAGAAGCGAGCAGAAAGGGGGAGAAAAGGGAAGGCGAGATGAAAGAATCTGGAATGCAGGTTTGCAAAGCTTTTGGCAGCTGGTTGTGACATTTGCATTAGCAGCCATTTTTTTGGGTCAGAAAGAAATCAGGAAAAAGAGAGATTAATAAAATGAATACATTTATTCCTGCGGCTGAAGATTTCCATGTTTATATTACAAAAGGTCTTGTATCAATCCTCATGTTTTCTGACATAAACGTATCATCCATCACTTGGCACAAATACAAAATTGAACTTCATCTCAGCCAAAGTCTTAAACGGTTGCAAATGAAATACTCCTGCTGAGTCAAGGTATAACTACAGACAAATATATACTCTTTTTTAGTAAACTAAAACTCCCAAATGGAGGGCAATGTTGACAAAATCACAAAGGGTGCATGGAGCATCTGACTGAGTCTTGATAGGTAAGACAAGATAAAGCAGATTTTAAAAAAATATTTATAGAAAATGGGAACTAAGATGGTTAATATCAAAGTCTATATGTTATATGCGCAAAGCTGACCTCATACGTAATTCCCCCGGAACTGCTTCTGTATTACAACAGTGAGCGCAAGCTAGATTCAAGTGATTATTACGTTTTGAAAATTGATATTTTTTTTACAAAAACGCATCGATTTGCTACAGGAGGCCTTTGTTCACCCCCCGGAGCCGTGTGAGACACTTTTTTTTGTGGAAGGGTGCTTTTTATTTCACGTCTTTTGGACAGAAGCAATGCAACACCCGTTGAGTACAATGATAGAGCTTGAACGATCAAAGACAATTTTTTACATAACTCCGACTGGATTTGTCTGAAAGAAGAAAGTCATATACACCTAGGACGCATCTGGGGGGAGTAAAACGAAGCCTAATTTTTATTTTTAGGTGAACTGACCCTTTAAAGGGCATTTCCTCTGATTCGCTCAAGGAAACAACTGAGATGTAGCAGAATTTTACTGGATATTAGAAACTTTCCATTGACTGCCTTACTGTTTCCAGAAACTTTGGGATTCAACTTTTTTGGTCAGAACCTGGCTGAAAAGTTTGTTGTATAGGATGTATACATACAAACATTTTTAGGACTTTCTGTTAAAATAAAACAAAGCAAAATAAAATAAAACTTAAACTAGCATGAAATTCCATAAGTACAATGATAGAGCTTGAACGATCAAAGACAATTTTTTATATAACTCCGACTGGATTTGTCTGAAAGAAGAAAGTCATATACACCTAGGACGCATCTGGGGGGAGTAAAACGAAGCCTAATTTTTATTTTTAGGTGAACTGACCCTTTAAAGGGCATTTCCTCTGATTCGCTCAAGGAAACAACTGAGATGTAGCAGAATTTTACTGGATATTAGAAACTTTCCATTGACTGCCTTACTGTTTCCAGAAACTTTGGGATTCAACTTTTTTGGTCAGAACCTGGCTGAAAAGTTTGTTGTATAGGATGTATACATACAAACATTTTTAGGACTTTCTGTTAAAATAAAACAAAGCAAAATAAAATAAAACTTAAACTAGCATGAAATTCCATGCTGGTTTTTGTTTTGTGGTGCTTGCTTGAAGTTTTCTGGTGAGCAAAGTGCCAATTTAGCAACTAATTGAAGAATAATGACTTCTTCTGCAGGTTACATTGATATGCTATTAGGTAGTGAGTAACTGAATGTCTGAGTAAGTTATTGAATCATTTAGTCATCCAATTTGTTCAAAAACATTGATGCTTATAGGAATGAAAAAGGTTATTTTTCTTTTTTTTCATTAAGTCATAACATAGAATTGATTTCTTATTTTAATGTTATTTATATATGTATATATTTTATATTAATTGTATATATTTGTTTACAAATTTTAATAACATAAATTGCATGTTAGTTAATTAACAGCAAAATGTAAATAGTACATTAACTACAAATAATCATATATAAAAATACTGAATTTACATACAGGTCAGGGGGGCAGATTAAATGCAAAAACACTTGGCAGATAAATTACCTATGATGTGTGTGAATAATCATGTTAATATGTAAAAAATGTAGTTTATAGTGGAAATATACAATAAATTTACCCGCTGTTCAGTGCATTGACCTCAGAACACAAAGTTTTCTGCCTTGTGGGCATCCACACGAATATTAACCGTCTGTCTCTCCCTCTGTTTCCCTTGCTAGTCACTCTCTCTCCTCCTCATTCTCTCTGAGTCAGAGTTTTTTGGCATTTGATTAAACAGAATTACAAGCTCCAACCCTGGAGACTGAAAGCTTTAGTACATGTGTGTGTGTGTGTGTGTGTGTGTGTGTGTACTCCAGTCACACGGGTGATAACAGGTGGGAGGAGATTTCTGACTTTGATTTAGACTCTCTGTCTCTCTTTCTTTCTCTATCTTCTTTGCATCTCTGACTGCTGGGTTGAGAAGTGATGGGTAAAGTCAAGATGTCAGATTTGAAAGTATAACAGACTTTGAACATCTCTAAATAAACCCCCACTCCCACCCCATGATTTTAAAGCTTGATCTGTAGGACCATCTCAACAGCATCTCAACAGCACCACTTTTTTAAGAAAGGTGTTGTGCTGAAACATAGGTAGTAGCCTTGAGCAAGGTCATGATATGCAGGTCCACATTTGAATAATTTTGACAAATATACTTTGTTTGTTTGTTTGTTTGTGTGTATGTTAAGTATATGCATCTCCATAACTGAGGCTGATGCGATATGCATCTTGATGCATAGCCAATGATATGATACATTAAAGATACATATGAAGCAGCTACCGATCTGGTACGATACGATTAATCCCTATTACGATGCAGTGCAATCCGATTTCGATTTGATTCAAAACAGTGCGATTCAATGCAATATGATGTAATGGAAAAATATATATAATGCTATGCAATTCAATATGGTACAGATATAGCTCGCTTTTATTTCTTTGGTTCAGACAGACAGCAAATCATGAATTAACTTAAGTGCCTTCTGACTTCTAACGCCTCGGTCTCCGTAGTGTTGTGAAATGACATTTTTCACATAGCAGCAGTGGTGATGAGAGAACGTGCTTAAGAAACAGTTTAGAGAGGAGAAATCAATCTACATATAAAATATTGGTCACAAATTATTGGTCACTTTTTAAATAATAAAAGTATAGAGCATCTACTAAAAATTACTGTATATATAAATAAATCCGTTTTCACCAATGCATATTTGTTAGAAACGATGCATCGCGATGCATCTTGTATCCAATGCACACTTTTTAAATTCAATGCATCACATCGTTAACTTTTATGCCAATACACTGATGCGAATTGGTGAATCTTACCATCCCTAGTGTATGGCTGCTGTCACTTTAAGACTGAATTCACATATCTAATATACTGACAAGGATTTGATTACTTTCCCAACTGTTTATGTTCATTTAACTTTTAACTTGTTTTTTAGCACCAAGCACGTCTGGCAGGATGCTATATTATGACAGATTTGTCTGAATTGGATTTTATGTGGGAAGGGTGACGCTATGTTTTGTTTTCATAATCATTGGAAGTCAAAATAAAAGCAAAAGTACAATTTGGTTAATTGCACAGCCCTAGTCATTTAATCATCTTTAAGAGCAAGGGGGCCACGGCGGTTCGGGTTGACCTACCTGTGTACTTTTCGTATAGTGAGGACCAGCACTGATTAACCAAGATGGATAAATGCGTGAAACAGATGTTACATGTGCAAATGCTAATTTATACAAGCGTTTACAACTTTGATGTTAATTCTGATTGGTCAGGCTATACTGTATATAGGGATGAGGTATGCTTTATATTATGATTTACTGTCCAGTGTCTGTGGGTGGCAATAACTGCTATATAATACCATCTTCTTGGATCAAAGCACAATATAGATATAATTGCACTCTCTTTCTCATTTACATATGACATATTATGGACCATGTATAGCTTTGATTTAAATTAGCACACATATTTAAATGTACGCATATGTCCAGTACACACACAATATCCCTGAATCTAGAACTCTCTCTTTTTCCCTTCGATCGCCCCACTTTCTGCTGTGATTATTTGATGTGATCATATTTGCTTTGCTCTGATTAATTAATCTACGCTTGATCCATTGACTGTGACATGATATTTCATGTTTATAAGCACACGCAGGCGCAGGAGTTTATTGGGAACAGGTGAAAGCAGTTGTAATGAACTCATAAATAACAGAAAAATTATTGAGTGTTTCTAGCTGATCGTTTGTTAGAGCGCAATACACTTCAGAGCAAACCCAAATAAAAGCTGGACATGCTTAATGATGGCGCTCTTCAAAATGTGAACAGACAAATGATCTTTATAAATAACTGCACATGGGGGTAATACAAACTAGTTAAAATTTCTAATTTGTCTAGGAGTAAGTGTGTTGTGTATGTGTGTCTTATCATAATTAACAAGATTAGTAAATCACTGTGAAGTTTAAAACCTGAATATCAGTTGGTGTTGCACTTGGCTAAATGACTCTGTGCTAAATGCACCTGTGTCATTCATCATGTCTGGGGAATGAGTGGGCTTTAGGTAATAGTTTGACAATGAAATCGTTGTTTGGATGGTATTTAATCACCAGTGTTGTTTTTGAGTCATACGTGGGTGTTTCTTCGGCTATGGGCACTTTTACCCCCTGAGGACTTCTGGAAAACGAAGCCTTTTAAAACACTCTTCACACTCTCACTAGTTTGTTTAATTTGTCCTCTAACAGTGTCCTACAGACGGAGTATATGCATATAGCACAGGAGAATATCTATCATTTGAAATCTCAACTTTGATGAAAATGACATTTATTGTTAGCATTTTATGTACCATTCAAAAGTCTGTGGTCAGTAAGATTTTTTTTTTTAAATAAGAAAATAATACTTTCAGTCAGCAAAGGTGCATTAAAGTGATCAACAGTTACAGCAAAAGACAATTACATTAATACAAAACAAGAAAAAACTATTTTGAATAAATGCCGCCCTTTTGAACATTATATTCATTAAAGGAACTTGAGAAATTACAGTTTCATAGTTTCAGTTACAGCAACAAAGAAAACAGTTATTATTAAAATGCAAGAATATTCCAGTTTTTACTGTATTTTGATCAAAAATGACACTTTTTAAAATATATTCTGTGATATTTACTTTTATCTCAAGCATGACCTTCACTGCTTTTTCCTTGGCTAACAAGTGCACCAACTTTTAGGGGGAAAAATTCCCTGGAAATTAACATCCCAACTGCAGGTTTTTAAAAAAGTAATACAAATATATATATATATATATTTAGGTAACACTTTCTATTAAGCCCATGTTTATAATACATTATAAGGGTATTCTTAAGGCATTATAATGACTGCATAATGCATTATAAAAAACCTTATAATATGTTTTGTCATTTCATGAATATTCATAAGAACAGT